CAGGTTTTTTCAAAGTACGCACAAGAGGTAGTTTCGACAATCTTTGAGATATTCGAAAGCGACAAGCGTCGTTCGAAAGAGCACGAGTAGCGCCCGTTTGTACCACCTTTCAAATTGTTTGTACCTCAACCGGACCGGAAATACAGATTTTTCAAAGTACGCACAAGAGGTAGTTTGGACAATTTTTGAGATATTCGAAAGCGACAAGCGTCGTTCGAAAGAGCACGAGTAGCGCCCGTTTGTACTACCCTTCAAATCGTTTGTACCTCAACCGGACCGGAAATACAGGTTTTTCAAAATACGCACAAGAGGTAGTTTCGACAATCTTTGAGATATTCGAAAGCGACAAGCGTCGTTCGAAAGAGCACGAGTAGCGCCCGTTTGTACCACAACCGGACTGGAAATACAGATTTTTTAAAATACGCACAAGAAAACGGACGCTACTCGTGCTCTTTTGAACGACACTTGTCGCTTTCGAATATCTCAAAGATTGTCCGAACTACCTCTTGTGTCTATTTTGAAAAACCTGAATTTCCGGTCCGGTTGAGGTACAAACGATTTCAAAGGTGGTACAAACGGGCGCTATTCGTGCTTTTTCGAATGACGCTTGTTGCTTTCGAATATCTCAAAGATTGTCGAAACTACCTCTTGTGCGTATTTTGAAAAATCTGTATTTCCGATCCGGTTGAGGTACAAACGATTTCAAAAGTCTTATAAGAAAGTACAAACGATTTTCTTTCGAATGGCATAAGCGAAATTTAAAAATCTTATAGTTGGGCGCTGGTCATTTTTTTTCAACTTTTCTTTTTATCCTTTGAGGTACAAACGAAATAACAAACGGTACAAAAGTACAAACGCGCTGCACTAATAATTTTTTTTTTCTATAAAGTTGGGTGCTAGTTTCACATCGGTTACAGTCGGAGTCTCGAAGCTAAACAAATCCGTGAAGAGCAGCTGAAAGGGAATTAAGGGAAATATCAAGTTAAATGATAATAGCAAGGCAATGCAAACAACTTCGTAAGGAACAGTTACGAAGAGAATTGAGGGAAATATATAGTGATATGGTGCTAATACTGAGACGAGCTAAAGAGGAGGAGCATTTCTTCAGAGCTTATCCGTAAGTATTCTCTTTTTTGATATTAGCTGAACGAATCTGAGATTTAAACGTTAACTTGTAATAGCAAATTAAAAATTTAAATGATTATAATATAATATTTATTAAGAATGTCAAACATAATCACTAATATAAAGTTAATTCTAACTTTTAAACAACTTTATGGATCCTTAATTACAGTCGGCATTGCAAAGATGAATATATCTTTCTGGTAGGAAGAAAATTTTGTGATAAACTGGAAGAAATGCAGCCAAGATTAAACCGAATATGGATAGAGAAGGATAGGATCGAAGACTATGTGTAATTATTCACGTTTCTTGTAACGCATAGCATAAATAAGTCTGAAAATTAAACTCCTATTAATTATCCTATAAAGTAATTTGTATTACAGGAAACATATATAATTATTTATTAATTGTTTTTACAATCAGTATTTCGGAGATCAGCAATTATTTGAGTTAACAGAAGAAATAACGGAATTATGGGCAAGATTATACGAACAATATCGAATTTTATTACACAAGGAGCAAAATACTTTTCTGTTCAGTTTAATCTGCTCTACCAGCCCACGAGATTTTAGGCGGTTATTATGGGATACCCTGTATATCCTAATTATTGTTTATTATATGCAAGATACATATAGTATAGTAAGATGATATAGTAAAAAATTGATCTTTGTTTAAAAAAGTGGAATAACTGCTAAAATCAGTTAAATTAATTTTCCGACTGGAAAAAATTGAAACCTCGCAGTTTAAACTACGCGAACTCTATAACATTAAAGTTTTATACCATTGTTTGCAGATATAAGATTGGAGGTAAATAATTAGATATATTATATTTAGAAACAATTTAATATATGTCAACCGAATACATTTATGACCAAAAAATAAGAAAAAAACCGATTTTATTTTTTTTCGCAACGTTCCACCAAATAAAAAAATCTGAAAAAAATATCGAATATAATATGGCATAAGACTTATCTACTGAATTTTTTTAAAAGTAGCCAATTTTTTAGATCTAGAGAAAATGTGATTTAAAATATTCTGGATTTTTTTAAAAACAGAATTTTTGGCACAGAACAACAACAAAATTCAAACTTATGTATATGGATAGTCTTTGTAATCATGAATTTTTTTGTAAAAATTAATTCAAATTTGGCGGAAAAAAAATATCAAAAAAATCACATCTCTTGTGATATTTCGAAATTGTGTGGGTCTTTTGAAATGAAACTTGGCACAAAAATTTCTTTTATCTGGGTGGACATTTTGCCCACTATAACGATCGATTACGCGCGGGGCTCGAAATCACCTCCTTAATCCGCTATACCCTTTAAATGATTATAATATAATATTTATTAAGGATGTCCAACGTAACCACTAATATAAAGTCAAAGTTAATTCTAATTATTAAACAACCTTATGGATCTTTACAGTCAGCGTATCAAAGATCGATTAATCTTTCGGGTAGGAAGAACATTTTGTGATAAACTGGAAGAAATGCAGCCAAGATTAAACCGAATATGGATGGAGAAGCGTAGAATCGGAGTCTATGTGTAATTATTCACGTTTCTTGTAACACATAGCATAAATAAGTTTGAGAATTAAATATTAATTATCCTATAAAGTAATTTGTACTATAGGAAACATATATAATTATTTATTAATTGTTTTCACAGTCCTTATTTCGGAGAGGAGCAATTCCCTAAGTTAGTAAGAAAAATAAACAAACGGTGGTCTAGATTATACGAACAATATTCGAA